CAAATATTAGCACTTACCGTTTTTTTTTTGTACAATCCTTTAAATTCCAGAAGTAAACAAACTCAAAAAATCCTAAAATTCCACTCAGAAACCTGTTTACGTGTTAAGAAATATTTACAACACTACATACCAAACTTAGGATATTATATTAAAATCGAAAACATCACTGTAATAATATACTATATTGACGCTACATAAATTAACTAAAGGTCTTTTTGTAAATTAAAACACTAAAGTTCGATTTTTATCACGAGACACAAGTACGCCCTCTCTCGGTATAGACAAGACTAACTTTAAGCAATCGAATATTTACAATCTACATTCACTGGCTCGCTGTAGATCACATTAAACGGCCAACAGTAAAACAGTCACGTCAAGTTCAAAAAACAAGCATTCAAGCAACTATCTTTTAACGTCGTATAATAATCAAGTTTATGTGCATTAAGTACGAATTTCTATTTTATGTGCGCCTCATACGATTTAAATTTCTGTAATTTGATTTCGTTTTCTCGTAAAAGGCAATTATTTGCTTCACGACATTGAAACATAACCCTTATTTTAAGTTCAATTTGCTGTTACGGTGTATTATAAACTCTAGTTGTAAATCACATTAAAACTGAGAGTTGATCACCTTTGTAGAAATGTGGCCTCACGACAAGGAACCTGTTTTGAATTCTTGATTCTCATCGAATGCTGTGACGTAATAGTTTTGTAAAACATTAATTTTTGAACGTTTAAACATTACAATATTAATATTTGTTTATTGTGAAACATTTTTATGGTTGTCTGTGTATAGTATATGAATTTTTGCCTTGTACCCGAATTCAACTAAACTGCTCAACGAGGTTTCTTATGATCAGCGCCATCTGTTATTACAAGTTTAAGAGCACCAATCGGCGAGTCAAACTCTATCTAATATTTTTATTGCATAAACTGATGTAATAACTCATGGTTCACCTGGTGATAAGTGGAAGTCTCAATTGGATAACGGCTGTCCCATCTCGTAAGCCGAAATGCATGACTATTCCGCGAAAGATATAAGCAGGATGGCGGTTTCTACTCATTCGGGCTATGAAGTAAATATATATTCTAAATTCAGTAATACATAACATTATATACTTATATAAATTGTACCGAACTTATGGTGACCTCCTAGTTAGGCCGACAGACGCACGTGACTTCCCACCAGTGACTCAGACATTAACATGCAGGCACAAAAATACTATAAAGAATAACTGCATAGGGTTCCGGACAATACATTGAATTCACATCAATCGACCCCTAAATATCTCCTTAATTTTCTCATGTGTAACAAGTACCGGAATTACGTAGGAAACTAGATACTTGCTTGGAGGGACCATTTTCACTAATAACTTAGCACCATGATGTGATCCGTAAAGTTGTTATCAGGTTCCAATTCGACCTGAATGCTCTTAAAGACATGGTTTAAAAAAACACTACAAAGTCTGGCGGCTAAGCTTTATAGAAATAAGATATTTGACAGAGGGTATTTTCACGATAAACTTTCTTAAATACAAGTTCCGATCTATAACATTCAGACCGTCGGTCTACCGAGCTACTTCACCCGCTCGGTGGAAGATCTTCCCTTTGTCACTACACATACGAAAGTTCTAGAAATTACCAATGACGCGATACAGTAAAATTGAATATTGACTGACTCATGACTTAGGTACCTAAAACACCACCTCAGACCATGATCCGTCGAGAGCAACGCATGATTGCTTCGCTTCAGAAACGGGCAGGCGACACCCATGCGGGCTCACAGTGTTGCACCAGTTCTATGGTGAGGACATTTACAAGATTACATCCTGAGCATGGTGGCCACAGTTCTACCAACTGTGATAGCTTTTTTTTCCTACCTACGCTGATAGCCTTGAGAGGCTATTTCAGCTTCACCCTGACGTGTGTAGATGAGGTCGCGGGGCTCAAGCCGGAGTGTTGCTAACACTGACCCTAGCAAGAGCAGTGCTTCGCAGAACCTACCACCGGATCGGAATCGCGACCCACTGAGAAGATCCGGCGAGAAACTCAATGGGCTGTCTATGGTTTAATTCGCTCGTCGAGCACTTCGTCGCAAGCGACGGGTTCGACGAGGACGGTGACTGGTGCTTGTGGCGCCTAAAAGCACCGTTAGTGGATCTGGAGGATCCGTAATGACGTGTTTTGGGCGACGTCGACGGTTTACCATTCGGTCTACAGGATCGGGTATGTAGTTTTCAGCGGCCACAGCGGTTCTCATGTCGTGCCGCCTTTGCGAACTTTATGTGATAGCATCTGACACTGTTTGCATTCAAACGTCACTTCACTTATTTTCGCAGTACGCAGCGTCTTGGCTGGCCCGTGACATTACTGACTTCCGTGAGGAACGGCAACCATTATAAAAAAATTGCTATATATTTATTGGCAAAAGTAAATAATTAAATCAATTGAGCAGTTCTATTTCAGAAATCGTATGCTAATCTTTATCACTATCTTAGAATTGGATCACTTGATGCGTGAAGTCGATGCTCCCCCGATCTGATGCACCATTAATTAATTAATGATTAATTAATATATTTTTTATATATTTATTATGTATAATATATTATATCTTAATATATTTTTTAAATATAGTTAAATTGAGTTAGTGAGGCTTCGAACACGCTTACAATCGGTTTACTAAATTAAACATGAATTTGTGAGGAAGAAAGAACTCAAATAAAAAACATAACACAGAGTCATGCTCAATATAATTTAACTTAAAAGTTTCACGGTTTGCAAAAAACACAATTTTGAGATCATTTCATAATTAAATTATACGTCAATTTTAAAAACAATGATTACATCTTCATACAATGTTTACAGTTATATAGAATTTATTTGTATAATTTAGTTTCCAGGTTCAACAAAAACATAGAAAACAAACAAAAATAATTTCTCGTGATTTTATAATGCGGACAAGAGTCGCTACTTATAATGCGATTTAAGATCAGTGTGCTTAGTGTGAGGTTTTTAACGTTCTCGATAGCGTAAAAGTTAACTCAAATTTGTATGGAGTTGGAACAGCGCCCTTAGCGGCAATCATAAGCACAAAGAACAGGGCGGGCTCTCGGCTAACTTCCGTCATGTAACTACGGTCAGCAGAAAAACTTTAAAAGAGATCAGCGCCATTTATTTTTAGACAATTTTAAATGAGTGTCACAATTCCGGCGTCTAGTCTATTGGGCGTCAGGACACGACTCACAGCGAAGAGCTGAACGATTTTAATTAAAATACAAAATATAATTTATCAGTTTATAAATGGTTTATATTTTGTATCTTGTAAATAATTACTACTAGTAGCCCTTGGCGCAGCAACCCAAACTGGATCTTGTCCTCCGATACTAAGAGACGCCAGTCCTTAAGGTCCTGCGCTGTATCCTGCCACCGGGTAGCTTACAATTTCCGTAAATAAATAATAATGTACATAGCAATACAAAGTTACAAGTTTTCTTAAATTACGTGTTATTACAATATACCAAAGATGTGAAATTTCATTTATCATTTCTTTTTTGCACACTGTACCAAGTTCCAGTTGTGACGTCACAGCATGGCGCTAAGCCGGTCCTGTTCTTATTCTAATATTTCTAATTGCGTAATACCATAATGTCAAATAAAATTCATTATAAAACCTAACTTAAAACCAGACTCAGATCTTAAAACAAAATCTAATTACATATTAATTATACGTGTACGTAGATCGAATGTTTAAAATACAAATTTAAAAAATCACTAAACACATAACATTACATTTCTTTTTGGGCATTAACAACTAGGATCAGCACACCTCTATATGTAAATTAGGAAAAGAGTTTGATTATATCTAGCCAATAGAATAAGGAATGGGACTCATTTTTCAAAGGCTTAAGAAAAACTTCATTGTTGATGACGTCACTTGAGGCCAACAGATGGTCATGCACGGATGCCCAACGTTTAGCCACATGTGATGATCAAATTGATTAAAAAAAATATTAGAATTATTATTTTGTTTAATATTTAATAATAATACGAATGAACGATGAATGATTAATTCATTTATTTATTACACTTCATATTGGTGGACTTAATGCCTAAAGCATTCTCTAGCAGTTAGATTTAATATAATCAAGAATGTATTCACTTTATAAATTGTGTTTATTGGTGTCAGGTCGCTACTATATAAATCTAAGAACTATAACTAACTTATTTAATTGTATTAACTCATTTTCATACACACATAAGTTAATATAGTGTTATTTTTTAATTAAGTTTCCGATAACTATTATAAAATAGTTACCTGCAATAATTTGAACACAAAACTATTTAACAATATGTTTTTCCAAAAAGTATAAATATATGTATAAGACTAGATTAATATTTTTGAACGTATTTATTGTACATTATGTTTGTATATAAATTTTTAATTTAGTTCTAATCTACTCTTTCTTACTAAAAGGAAGTAGTCAAAATAAATTATAATAATACTTTTAGCACTTTCGATTCTTTTCGAAGGTAACTTTTTTTTAAATATATGTTCCTATATATTTCAACTGAAGTCTTTCATTATTTCTCGCGTTAAATGAGAGATATGAATATCGTCACGTCGACCGTCTTATCTTTCAGGCCAGGATTATTCACATAACTCCAACAGTTCTGTTTTTTTTATTGCCTTTATAGGCAGACGAGTATACGGCCCACCTGATGGTAAGTGGTCACCGTCGCTCATGGACGTCAGCAATGCCAGGGGCAGAGCCAAGCCGCTGCCTACCATTAAGTACTCTCCGCAAGCCTCATATGATCAAGGACATGTCATAGCGCTTGGAAAAAACCGTGGAGGGGAGCTCATTCCAAAGCTGGATGGTGCGTGGCAAAAAAGATCTTTCATCATTATTTTTACTGGTGGTAGGAACGTCTTGTGAGTCTGCACGGGTAGGTACCACCGCCCTGCCTATTTCTGCCGTGAAGCAGTAATGCTGCCCTTCAAACTATACTGAGATCTTAGAAGTTATATCTCAAGGTGGGTGGCGCATTTACGTTTGAACACGAGGTGGGCTGTGAGCTCGTGGAGCCGGCGGTGTCGGCTCAGTCGTGCTTGGGCCAGCTGTCGCGCACGAGCCGCCAGTCCACGGCGCGGAAGTACGGGTGCCGGTGCAGCTCGCGCGCGCCGCCCGCGCCCAGCCGCGCCGCCGGCTCGAACGTCAGCAGCTGCAACACGACACGACGTCTTTGTGGTAGTAGTAGTTTTATTTTTCCAAATGGAAAGACAAAGGTATCGCACCATACAGCCTAATCTTTTATATATGTATTTTTTTTATGAAATATGATATTATGAAATGAAATGAAGCTGATTAATTTAATATGAAACATGGCATGGCATGAAATGAAATGAAGAATTTGAGACATTAATCGACTGGGATGAAATTAAATGAAATGTGATGAAATATAATTAAACTCAATAAAATAGTGGTCGTTTACTAAGATTTTTCAGTGGACTTTTTGGAGGATCCCGAAAGCTATGTCCAACAGTTTTGTTTCATTTTCCCATATTTGTGTACTTTCACAGATACTAAACAGTTAATAAACTACCATTATTACACATCTAAACCTGAAGAAACACTAAATAGAGAAAATAAAACAAATCGCACAACTTGACACTTCGCGTTACCGCCAAAAAGTCAGAACCCGTCTTTTTGGAACGAAGATACTTAACCCTTTGACTGCCGTTTAAAAGTTTGGAAACACTACGGTAATTTAAATAAAAATGTTATTAAAATACATATCTGATTGAACTATTACATTATTGTGTAGTGAAATATATTTAGTGCATAAATAATAACATAAAATACTTCTCATAAAAAATTTGCCTCCTCAAAATTCCTTCATTTTTAAAAATAATTAACTTCCATAACATGTTTATTTAGAGATTTATTACAATAATATTTTTTTAGTCAACTGAAAATAGGGTGTTTCTAAACTTTTGAACGGTAGTGTACATATACTCTCTGTGTGTACGTGTGTGTTGTCGTTACGTACTTGAGTCAATAAAGATTCCTCTTCCACTGTCAGCTCCTCGGGCAGCTGTAATATAGTGTGCGATGTGAACACAGTCTTGTGGTGAACAGAAAGAGGCTGAAATAAATAAAAATACAATATAATATACAGTATAGAATAAAACAATGATATATTTAGAGCAGATAGAACGTAGGTTTCTGAATAGTTTTATCATTTCGACAAATGTTGCATTAAATTTTTTAAGTTATCGTGGCCTAAAGGATAAGGCGTTCAGTGCTCTCGTATCGAGCAATACAAGTGTGCCGGTGTTCCAATCCCCCAGGCGGGTACTAATTTTTCTAATAAAATACGTATTTATCAAATGTTCACAATTGATTACCACGATGCAGGAGTAGCATCGTGTAATAAAAATTAAACCCGCAAAATTATAATTTGCGTAATTGAAGACATGAGTGGATGAAGGAGTTAAGTACCATTTAAAAAAAATTGGAGTTTTTAAATTGAATGAAGGTATTATGTGCCTAGAAACCATATTAGATTTTAAGACTCTGGATCTAAAGGCTATTTTTAGGAATTGCATGTGGTCAAGGAGTTACTTACGAAGAAAAAGTACAAGTAACAATTTTTTTTTCCTGTTTTCTCAAAATTTACTATTGTATCAAATCCCCTTAATCCACTCACATCTTCAATTACCGCTGGTAGACCGTCTTGTGAGTCTGTACGGGAAGGTATCGCCGCCCTGCCTATCTTTGCGTGAAGCAGTAATGCGTTTCGGTTAAAGGGTGGGACAGCTGCTGTACTGTAAAAACTGAGACATTAGAATTCATGTCTCGATGTGGGTTGTTGATGTCTATGGGCTGCGGTAACCAGGTGGTCCGTGTAAGCAACGTGTCGACGCGGCACTCACGTATCCACAGATGAGCTGGTAGAGCAGCGCGCCCAGGCTCCAGTAGTCGGCGGCCGGCGCGGGCGCCTGCCAGCCGCGGCACTCCGGCGCCACGTGCAGCGCGCCCGGTGCGTGCCGCGCGCCGCCCCGCCACGCCCCGTCCCGCCCCGCCCCGCCGCGACACGCGAAGTACGTGAGCAGCGCCTGCCCGCGCGCGCCCAGCAGCACGTTGGCGGGGCCCAGGTCGCTGCACGCACCAGCACCTTATAACTACTTTTGTTGCCAAAAGCAACTGTAATCGGTTCACACCGAAATTTTCTATGAAATAGTTCAGGGGTCTCAAAATATGAAATTGTTAAAATTATATGTAGGTATTTAGATTTAGTGTTTTAGTATTTTTAGATATAGATTATATTGTAATACTCTTGAAGTAAAAATTCAATGGTGTGTGTCAAATGTAGATGTGAGGTAGACGTTGTAATCCCGAGTGCATTCTCGTTACCACAGCTAGGACACCACAAGATTATAAAGTTTCATATAAATTTGTGACACTTGTTTCTCTTGCGCTCTACTGTTCTTCGGTATCGACGAGACATAAACCACATTACAGTAAGAAAGTTGCGATGAAATAGTCCCAAAATCAAAACTACGTAAAAAAATAAATACTACCAAGCTGATGGTCTTGAAAGGCCATTTCAGCGTAGCCCTAACAAGTAGGTGAGCTCACAGAGCTCAAACCTAACGAGCGTAAGTAAAAAACTAAATAAGCTAAATCATAGCGATATTTTAAATAATTCAATTTCCATGTAAGATCAACGTAACGCATAGGCAGACCGACCGTGCACCTACGAAAGCGCGTGTGCTGTACATTGCGTTCTAATAAAAACGCTTTAATATAGAATAGCTTTTTGTATTGTTTCGATTTTCCTGTTGGGCATCTCTAGCTGTGCGCGTGTTTAACATGTTTGGTCCTTCGAGAACTGGATTATAAGTGCAAAAAACAATAGTGTAAAAGGCTAAGTGCTAATTTCTGCGAGTTGGTTTATGAACTATTTCAAAAACTTGGACATTTAAACAGTGCCTAATTAATTTTGAATTAGGTAATGATACTTGGACTATAGTAATTGCTAATATTTAGAAAGTGATTTGGACGAATACAATTTTTGTTACGTAAACAATGGCTCAACTTTGTGAATCACAAAAAACGTTATCAGAACGTATTTCTAAGTTACAAAGTAATACTAAAAAGACGTCTAAATCAAGATACACACTTGGCTATCTACAAACACGCTTANCGTAAATGGACCACAAAAGTCTACGCCGCTGGTCAAAAACGGGCGTGACGGATTAACTCTGCACTGTGGTAAATTACCCATTAACGGAGTCATAGGTCGTGCAGTTTGGGTAAAACAAGGTTTACATAATCTTAAAATCTTTTTTACTAAGTTCTTTGCTCGGAGAATCCAATATTTTTGGTGGACAACATTTAATGTGAGCGAATTTCAAACATGTTAAACAGCGCGTCTGGACAATGCACCGTCCAGTGCACTAGCAGTACTGCGGCGCCGGTGTAGAGAGCAGGTACCCACACGCACACCACGCCGGCCGCGTGCAGACTCTCCAGCGCGGTCACCAGCTCGGCGGCCCAGCGCCGCACCGCGCCCGGCGGCACCGCGTCCCGGTACCGCATGCGCGGCTCCAACTATATATATATATATTTGTTTCCCACATTCATTACAAAATATGTGAATATCAAAACGAAAAAGTTATAACACATAAAAGTTGTGTTCCTGTTATTGTGTAACACTGTCTATCAGTTGTCCAGAAGAGATTACTTCGAACGACAAGATGAACATTCTAATCTTAATTTAAATTACCAGTTAAATTATCTTGTAAAGGACACAAGAATATTCCAATTATAATGCAAAAAATAATAATCATAAGGCATTTTTGTTAGAAATGAAAATGCATTGAAATTTAGTTATAAACAAATATTGTATTATATAATATAGGATGCGCTCACCCCGGTACCGGTGGCGGCGGTGTGCTCGTCCGGGGCAGTTGTCTGCGCGCCGCCGCCCAGCGCCCGGTCCACGGTCAGCAGCAGCTCCTTGGAGTTGTGCAGCAGGTCGCGCACGTCGTCCCCCGGCGCGGCGCGGTCGGCCAGCACGCAGCGCAGGTCGGGCGGGCGCGGCTTGGCGGCGGGCGCGGCGGCGTACCGGCGCACGTACTCGCACAGGCGCTCGCCCGGCGCGTACGTCAGCACCAGGAACAGCGAGTCCTCCGTCTCGATGAGCGCGTGCAGCCGCACCATGTAGGGCGCCGGCCCGGGCAGCACGGGGCGCCGCCACTCCCCCTCCGGCTCGTTGCTCGGCACCTTGTCCAGCACCTGCGACTCAACCAGCTGGCTCAACGGGTCGGGGCCAGGCATCTTACCTGCTGTGCGCGTCTAGCGGTGTGCGGGGTGTGTGGGACTTGACGGTCTGCAAATGGTGAGTTCACCTGAAGGCCGACCGCGGATTCAATGAAATTTTTGGGGATCGTACCCACTAAAAGATTTCGCTTACATATTTTTTTTGTCAGACCCCGGGCAGAGTATGAGGAGTCGTTTAGTGGATCGCATCTTAAAACTCGGCAGATCCACACACCCGCGGCCACCGCCGTTTGAACTCGCCGGCTCAAAAAAAAACTTAACGAACTGGAGCCGGCTCTGTACGTACGAGTACAGGGTTATTTACTTCGCACATCATTTCACTAAGGGCCACACGGTAAATAGTCACCCTGATGCCTGAGGTGGAAGCCAATTTTTTTAAATCCTTTCTATTAATTATTTTAATGTGAATTCTAGACCAAAAAATATTTTAGTGCGTTTAAAGTAATTCAAAAGTGGAACAGAAAATAAGTCAACTATTGGCACGGCGGTACCCGCACCTTCATGACGTAGCACGTGTCGGTGCTGGCGTGCAGCACCAGCAGCAGCCGCGGCCGCACCACGCCCAGCAGCACGTACGCGCACAGCTCCGCGCGCGACCCGCTCCGCGCCGCGCCGTCCCGCGCCGCCCCGCCGCGCTCCGCCCCGCCGCGCGCCACTCCACCCGCGATCTGCACAACCGTGAGTTCACTCGACTCAGAAATATATAATTAATTAACTATATATTTATGCATATTGTCACAGGAAACGATATTATGAAATTTCGCTAACAATTTATTAATGAAATATGTTTTAGTTTGAATAGATTATCGCTACGAGTATAGTCACAGTGCTCGACGTTAACTTTACTTAGGGATTTAGAATATAAATCATTAGAATTTTACTAAAATGTGAAGAACAATTCTAATGGAATGTAGAGTAGTGTGTCCTCACGTGTTGTGTGCGCGCGCTGCACAGTCGCTCTGCGTGCGCCAGGTAGGCGTGCGTGCGCTGCCGGACCAGCGCCCGCCGCGCGCCGTCCGCGTCCGCTGCAACACGCGCCGCTGTACCGTCCGCCGTCCACCAGCCCACGCCAATAGAATAGTGCGTGCAGGGCTGACACTAGCTCAGTTTAACTAAATAGATAAATCCTCCACATTNCACGTGTTGCGTGCGCGCGCTGCACAGTCGCTCTGCGTGCGCCAGGTAGGCGTGCGTGCGCTGCCGGACCAGCGCCCGCCGCGCGCCGTCCGCGTCCGCTGCAACACGCGCCGCTGTACCGTCCGCCGTCCACCAGCCCACGCCAATAGAATAGTGCGTGCAGGGCTGACACTAGCTCAGTTTAACTAAATAGATAAATCCTCCACATTCCAGAGCCCAGCCCACTGAGTTTCTCGCCGGATCTTCTTAGTGGGCCGCGTTTTCGATCGGGTGGTAGATTCTGCGAAGCACTACTTTTGCTAGGGCCAGTGATAGGAGCACTCCGGCCCCGTGAGCTCACCTACACACGCTGAAATAGCTTCTCAAGGCTATCAGCATAGGTGGGGGAAAAAAAACCAGAGCCCTAATGAATATTGACAGCCCACGCCCCAGATAATATAACAAGTACAAACAAAGGACTTTTTGGCGGGAGGAGTGAAGTTGTGTGATTTGTTTTGAATTTTGTTTATTTAGTTTTTAATAACGGTGGTTTATTAAGTGTTTAGTATCTGTGAAAGTGCATAAATGTGGGAAAATGAAACAAAACTGCTGAACGTAATTTTTAAGTCCACTGAGAAAATCTCAGTAAATAACCACCATTTTACTAAAATCATATTTCATCTCATCTCATTTCATTTAATTTCATGACAATTCATGAAGTTTAAACAAACAAGAAGAAATAAACAAGAAGAAGTACTAGTGTGAACGTTCATTAAATTCGGACTGTACTAGTGTGAGCGTTCATTAAAGTCGGACTGTACTAGTGTGAGAGTTCATTAAAGTCGGACTGTACTAGTGTGAGCGTTCATTAAAGTCGGACTGTACTAGTGTGAGCGTTCATTAAATTCGGACTGTACTAGTGTGAGCGTTCATTAAAGTCGGACTGTACTAGTGTGAGCGTTCATTAAAGTCGGACTGTACTAGTGTGAGCGTTCATTAAAGTCGGACTGTACTAGTGTGAGCGTTCATTAAAGTCGGACTGTACTAGTGTGAGCGTTCATTAAAGTCGGACTGTACTAGTGTGAGTATTCGTGAGTGGTGTCGCTGAGGTGCTCACAGCGGGCGCCGACGAGTAGCTTCTCGATGCCGGCCTTGTAGTGGTCCAGGGCGCCCGCGTAGTCCCCCGCGTCCTCGCACCGCGCCGCCAAGTTCAGCATGTAGCCCGCCTCGAATATGTAGCTGTCTTCCGTCCTCGTCCCGCGCCCCGCGTGCGAGGGGGACAGGGCACTGTCTGCTACGTAAACACTATCTAATTAGTGAAGCCGGGACTTTTTGGCGGGAACGCAAGAAGTGAAGTTGTGTGAATTGTTTTATTTTGTCTATTTAGTGTTTCTTCAGGTTTAAATGTGTAATAACGGTGGTTTAATAACTGTCTAGAATCTGTGAAGGTGCACAAATGTGTGAAAATGCCGCTGAACGTAGCTTCTCGGGATCCTGCCAAAAAGTTAACTGAAAAAGTCTCAGTAAATGACCACCATTTTACTGTGGTTATATTTCATCACATATCATCTCATTTGTAAATTTAATTCGTTTTTAATCATTTGTTTGTTATGTCGCGATTAGTTTCCTTCGTTTTTTATTATTCATAAACTGTAAAGAATTAAAACGGCGAATTATAAAAATCTTGTTACTCGACGCTGGCTAATGCACAAATCGTGCCGGAGCCAAAAAATGAAAATTAGTGAAGCCATTCGACTTTATATAAATACTACTTAGTAATAAACACAAACGCACCAAAAGTCTGCGCGTTCAAAGACAAACTGTCCGAGTCGGTGTTGCCAGTTCTCGTCGTGTGACAATCGTCGATCTTTGATGTGGAAGGTTCGTCGAAATTAATCAAATCCGGCAACACGTTCCTCTTGACACTGGACGCCGGCTTGTCTATGGTGAGCTTGGCCAACTCGTCAAAGAGGTCGCTGTCTATGCTCTCCAACGAGTCCAGCGAGTCCAAGCTGCCCGTCCGCTTGGAGGCCTCGCTCGAGTCCACCACCTCCACGTCAGCCGCTTCGTAGATCGGTATTTGCGATATAAAATCGGTTTCGTCGCGCGATACTTGTTGAGAAGCCGTCGGATTAACTGGAAAATAAATAAAATTATGAAAAAAATGTGAGCCGTCACGGGACGCCTGGCAGATGTGAAACATCGACATTATTTTGTAAAAGTAATATGCAGAAAAGAACAGATTGTGATAGGAACCAAATATGTCTTAATGATAAAATAAAATATTACGAAAAAATAATTTGTTTTCAAGTAAAACACAGGTTGTGTGTACTGTAGTTAACAACACTGTGTACACTACGGAGTATACACTATAGGTATCCGAGCACAGTGTAGCGAGAGAGATGGCTTAACGCCGGATCGAGTGGGAGAGAATCGCACAGTCGATTGCGCATGCCGTGGCGACGCGTCGCCACGCCAGAAATCGGTTTTACGTGCGGCTATAGATGTTTCACATCAAAAAAAGTTATATTCCAAGCCCCTTTGGCTTTTTGAAGTGATACTTCTTTAGGTTGAGAGTAAAATTTAACTCGCGACAGATTCGTTACGGCTAGAGAGAACAGATACAATTTAGGAAGAGCGAGAGGGAGAAAATAGACAGAGCGTCTCGCGAACCACTCGACCGTGGAGAGAAAGACAAAGCCAGTTAGATCGTTTCTCTTATACACAACATTCCCTATTACAAAAGAAATTTGATTTTTGGATGAAAAATGGAGAAAACCACAATACTTCTTTCACGTGCACCAAGTTGTACGTGCACCACTATTTTATTATGGATATATTCAATTTAGACCTTAGCCTAACGGAATAAGATCGAGCATGCGTTAGTAAGGTTTACTAACTTGAGCCGTTGGGGGTCCTGGCCTCGTCGTCGTCAGTCGGGTACTCCAGCGGCGGCGTCTCCTCTATGGGCAGGTGAAGAGACGACCTTATGGAGTTTATGACCCCCGGCTCAGCGCAGGGCTCTGGGTACCCGGTCTGAGGAATCGTACGTCGGGTCAATTGCCGTCCTGGGTGTGGCTGACCCACATAGTCACGTGGAGTGTTGTGTGTGCGTTTAAATGTTACCAGCCACATGGACTTCAAATAATTACGAGATTCGTATTAATGTAACTTAACTGGTGTGAGTCGGATAATCGAAATTCGACCTTAATCACTGATACCTCAAGACTTAAATTCATCTTATTAATATTACATCTCTTTTGTTTTCACAAAAGTGATCTTTATTGACTTCCATTCATTATTTAAATTACTATATGGATGTATTATACGGTTATTTTCCAAAATTAATAAATAAAAATATTCAAAATAAAAAAAATAAAAAAAGTAAAAAAAATCTATATCGAAAAATTTTTTTCTATTTCGGAATAAAAGCCTAATTAAACCTTGGCTTGATAGGCTTGAAAAAACCTTGGCTTGATAGGCTTGAAAAAAATAATAAAATAAAATGTAGTACCGTTTGTCTTTGCTTTAAAGACAAATTTAATGGCACACATTTCGATTCAAATTTTACTCGTAAAGAGCACCTTGATGAATGTTTGACTTGGCTGCAAGTACACTTACCTGAAGGAAATTGACGAAGTCAGTGCTAGTGAACAGCAGTCTATGCTCCGCGATGAACTCTAACAATGTCTTGATAGTTCTCGCTCTGTCGGTTATCACCTGTCAATGTATTTAGATTTTTTTTAAGGGATTTTATGACCTGGTAACTAAGACCTTTACGTCAAGTCTTATTTTAATCTATATTTATATTTTTATGAAAAACGATAATATGAAATGAAATGAAATGAAGACGATTGAGATATTAATCAACTGGGATGAAATTAAATTAAATGAGATGATATGGGATGAAATATAATCTTAGTAAAATGGTGGTCATTTACTGAGATTTTTCAGTGGACTTTTTGGAGGATCCCGAGAAGTTACGTCCAGCGGCTTTGTTTCATTTTCCCACATTTGTGCACTTTCACAGATATTAAACAGTTAATAAACCACCGTTATTACACATTTAAACCTGAAGAAACACTAAATAGACAAAATAAAACAAATCACACAACTTCACTCCTCGCGTTCCCGCCAAAAAGTCTATTTAGATATGTCAGAAGCTATCACAGAATATAAAATTTCGAAGTTATTATTATTATTAATACTATATTTCAATTAAAAAAAAACCATAACATGTTGTTGGTAAGCATCATTTATCATCTATGTTAGTAACTGAAAAACCTAACACATAATTATCAGACTATTCATTACAATTTTTGGAGTTTACTCCTTTAGAATCGATTTACATATATAGGCCCGGGGTATGAAAATTATGGGGACCAAAATCGTACTAGCATGTCACACGAAATGCGTTATGCGCCTGATTGGCTCCTGATTGCGTGATGCGTGCGCGCGCCAATCAAAATCGTACTAGCATGTCACACGAAATGCGTTATGCGCCTGATTGGCTNGGTTGCGCCCGACTATGCTTGTGTAAATAATATAATTTTGAGTAGTGTTGTGAATGTATGATTGTTTGGCGTATTTATGTACTGTATGAGAGTGTGTTATAGAATACGTAATTAAATATGATATAATATTAAATATTGAGTAGGTGTGCAATGTAAATTAATAAATAATATGAACTAATATACATAAATATAGTAGAAACACCTACATTTTATTATGGATATATTCAATTTAGACCTTAGCTTAACGGAATAAGATCGAGCATGCGTTAGTAAGGTTTACTAACTTGAGCCGTTGGGGGTCCTGGCCTCGTCGTCGTCAGTTGGGTACTCCAGCGGCGGCGTCTCCTCTATGGGCAGGTGCAAGGACGACCTTATAGAGTTTATGACTCCCGGCTCAGCGCAGGGCTCTGGGTACCCGGTCTAAAGAATCGTTTGTCGGGTCAGTTGCCGTCTTTCTGGGTGTGGCTGACCCACATAGTCACGTGGAGTGTTGTGTGTGCGTTTAAATGTTACCAGCCATATGGACTTTAAATAATTACGAGATTCGTATTAATGTAATTTAACTGGTGTAAGTCGGATAATCGAAATTCGACCTTAATCACAGACACCTCAAGACTTAAATTCATCTTATTAATATTACATCTCTTTTGTTTTCACAAAAGTCATCTTTATTAAGTTCCATTAATTATTTAAATTACTATATGGATGTACTATACGGTTATTTTCCCAAATAAATAAATAAAAATATTCTAAATAAAAAAAAAAGTAATAAAAAATCTATTTCGGAATAAAAGCCAAATAAAAACTTGGCTTGAACAGGCTTGAAAACAAAACAAAAAATATAGTACCGTTTTGTCTATGCTATATAGACAAATTTAATGGCACACATTTCGATACAAATTATAAAGAGCACTTTGATGAATGTTTGACTGGCTGCAAGTACACTTACCTGAAGGAAATTGACGAAGTCAGTGCTAGTGAACAGCAGTCTGTGCTCCGCGATGAACTCTAACAACGTCTTGATGGTTCTAGCTCTGTCGGTTATCACCTGCCAATGTATTTAGATATTTTTTAAGGAATTTTATGACCTGGTAACTAAGACCTTTAAGTCATGTCTTATTTTAATTTATATTCTTATTTTTTATGAAAAATGATAATAAGAAGTGAATTGAAAAGAAATGAAGACGGTTAAATTAATCAACTGGATGAAATTAAATAAAATGAGATGATATAGGATTAAATATAATCTTAGTAAAATGGTGGTCATTTACTGAGATTTTTCAGTGGACTTTTTGGAGGATCCCGAGAAGTTACGTCCATCGGCTTTGTTTCATTTTCCCACATTTGCGCACTTTCACAGATATTAAACAGTTAATAAACCACCGTTATTACACATCTAAACCTGAAGAAACACTAAATAGACAAAATAAAACAAATCACACAACTTCACTCCTCGCGTTCCCGCCAAAAAGTCTATTTAGATATGTCAGAAGCTATCACAGAATATAAAATTTCGAAGTTATTATTATTATTAATACTATATTTCAATTAAAAAAAAACCATAACATGTTGTTGGTAAGCATCATTTATCATCTATGTTAGTAACTTAAAAACCTAACACATAATTATCAGACTATTCATTACATTTTTTTCTTTCCAAGTGCCCCCTTCAAAGTTCTTTACAAGTTATACTTATATGTATACAATCGAATTAAAATGTCCGGGACCAACAGTGTTTTTTCCTTTTGTTGGACAACCAAGACGTACGTGTTGGACATTTGGAGACTGGGGGGTAGCACTGCATACATGTCTCAAAGTGGTCAGCGACATTGCAATGTCTATGGACTATTGCAACTACATGAACACCAGAAGAATCGCGACCGAGGAGGAGAAGGAATTACTGGTGGTAGGACCTCTTGTGAGTCAGCGCGGGTAGGTACCACCACCCTACCTATTTCTGCCGTGAAGCAGTAATGCGTTTCGGTTTGAAGGGTGGGGCAGCCGTTGTAACTATACTTGAGACTTATATCTCAAGGTAGGTGGCGCATTTGCGTTGTAGATGGGCTCCAGTAACCATTCAACACCAGGTGGGCTGTAAGCTCGTCCACCCATCTAAGCAGTAGTAAACACTGGCGGCAGTACTCACGTCCGGCTGAAACCTCCTGAAATAGCTGTACCGGGGCAGGGCGGGGAACGTGCCGCGTAAGTGCAGGCCCGCGTGCAGCGACTTCATGCTCTTGTGCAGCCTCTGGATGTCGCTGTAACGTTTCCATACAGATATCGCCGTCACGGCCTCCGGCGATTCTATCGGGAACAGCTGGAACAGCGGTTACAATGTCTAGCTCGTGACTAGCTCCCTAGCTCGAGGGAGGCGCAAAATGAACCCAATTTGAATTGGACGCTGGGAGCCCTCAACAGAGCGAAGCGATACTTCACGCCTGGACAAAGACTTTTGCTTTATAAAGCACAAGTTCGGCCTCGCGTGGAGTACCGCTCCCATCTCTGGGCCGGGGCTCCCAAATACCAGCTTCTTCCATTTGACTCCATACAGAGGAGGGCCGTTCGGATTGTCGATAATCCCATTCTCATGGATCCTTTGGAGCCTCTAGGTCTGCGGAGGGACTATTTTATACAGTATGTTCCATGAGAAATGCGCTGAGGAATTGTTTGAGATGATCCCTGATCTCCTTTTTATCATCGCACCTCCCGCCATCGGAGCAGACTTCATCCATATTATTTGGAACCACTGCGTTCATCGACAGTGCGTTTCCAGAGGTCTTTTTTGCCACATACCATCCGGCTATGGAGTGAGCTCCCCTCCATGGTGTTTCCCGAGCGCCATGACGAGGCTTGTGGAGATTATTAAGCGTTAGGCAGCGGCTTGGCTCTGCCCCTGGCATTGCTGAAGTCCATGGGCGACGCTAACCATTCACCATCAGGTGGGCCGTATGCTTGCCTGCCTACAAGGGCAACAGAAAAAAAAGTTGTGGCTTATTATTTCTTACATAAGTCAATAGACTCACGACCCATCTTGAGGCCGGAGCTAAATCTCAAAATCCCTACAAACCTTCAATTTGCAAGGAACAATTCTGAGTGGCAATACGCAGGGAACTGTGCACCTAGCATTTCTAATATCCATAAGCGACTTTAACCACTTGATAGTAAGTGAGACGGTATGTATTAAAATTCAATTAATAATAATTAATTTGTTTATAAAAATCTATCTGTAATTAATTCTAATATTGAAAAAAATTTGTAGTTTTTATCATTAATTATTGTCAATTTCTTATCAATTTGTTAAAATGCAGGTCATTCGTTTTGATCTATGCCTTCAGCAACGAAACAGGAATAGTTAAACTGGCTCTGGCTAAAAATTATTTTTAAGCCTCGTTTGAGTCAGATATGAGGCAAAATCTCTGAAGAAAATGAAAATCTCTCCTCTGTGGATGATAATAGCAATTTCAGGTAGCTCTTTTAACTAAACTTTTAGCTAAACTTTCCTGAATTGAAAACTAATATGAGGGTAACAATGAATTTTAGCACAGACCACTTTAGAACCTGTACAGAAATAACTAGTACTAATACATTTGAAAACAGCACTATTTTATAATGCAATATGTCATATCAGCGATGTTACAAAGAATGGTGAGCACACAATGGGATCTTTATTCATGAGGACTATGCCCACCCACTGGGCCAAACAGCCATTCTAGAATGGACTCCGTGCTTTTTTATTTTTTATTTCTGCCTGCGATATTCGATCATCGGCACAATCGCATCGCTAGATACCAATGCACTCGGTATCTTTTAGGCCATGATGATTCCGAACTTGTAATTTCAAAGATATGTCAGCTCATTTCCAACCAAGATCTAAGAAATAGTATTTCAAAATTCAACCATATTCACTGATACCTCAAAATTTACATTAAGTCTATGTAGTTTTTCAAAATTCAACCATATTCACAGATACCTCAAAATTTACATTAAGTCTATGTATTTTTTTCCTTAGATTTATTTTATTTTATCTATTGTTTTCTTATTGGCTAAATGTCAATTAAAATACTATTTACGAACTGATAGCACTAAAATTCATTAACGGCTATTAAAAGGAAATCACTTAACAAGCAGAAGTGAAAATGGTATTGAACTTATTTTCTGCTTATTTATATGTATATAGTTCTCATGTAAACAAATGGTGCAAAACTCATCTGAATTGTCCATAAACACAAAAACACAGTGTTCAGAATGGTCATGGGTGATAAAATTAAAGTAGGTAAGACCTAAAATAGTTTGAAATGAACTAAACTCAATTCATCTCATTCCAAAAATCTCCTTTGAAAAGTCTACTTAACTTGAATGTTGACCATATTATTTGATGAACAAAAGACAAATGTAAGTATTAAGATGAAAAGTGTGAGGAGTTTGGCGGTTAAGGGAACTAAGTGGCAGGCAGCACAGAAGCACACACCTTTCCTCTCAAATTCCTCAGCTTCAGGTGAGTTAATAAAGTTTCGCATTCAAACTTATATTTTAAATGTATATGGGGGCCTTTGGACATATAATTATCCTTGACTAAGATACAACACAAAAAGCCCCTCTAACAAATAACAATTTGTTAAATGTATTGCAAACAGCAGATATGGAAATTGCAATTGCACTGCACTTAGAAAGGCCGAAACCCTAAAATTGGGTGAAAGTATTTTTTACTTTCAATGAAAGTTCACGCACTTTCTTTCGAAATGACAACAATTTTATTTAAAAGTAAATATTAATTGTCTTTTGTTGCCGTAATTTAATGTAACTATTACTTACAATAGACATGATCTTATATATAGTGAATCCATTCTTGTGTTTCGATGTTTCATCAACTGAAAACCGGCGAACCCACTTATCCTTCGACATGTTTACAGTTTGTTTTAGTCAAAACACAAAACTGTTAAAAGGAGATCATAAAATGCCAATAACTATAGGTAGTCATAGTTATATGAGTTTACTAATCAAGTTTATTCAGTCACTTGACTGATTTAGTTTGTTGTAACAGCCGTTTTACGCTGATACATAGATATTACACATAAATTCACATAATCGCCGAAACATGTACACAACATTAAATAGAGATGCTGCTACTCGTACCGACGTCGACTGCTCGATAGCCGAAGGGTTTTCACGATTTATTTATTACAGAAATAGATTTTCATTGTTCGTGTTCAGTTTTACGGTTCAAAAACTAGTCCTATTAGTTTTTAGTAGCAATATTACTGAAGTTACAATACTTTTTTTTTTTATTGACGTCGAGGCACCTTCCAATCGTAACTCTAACACTGAATCGGAAATAATCGGAATGCAGCTTCATCACTAAGAATTGGAACTCAGGGGTTACTGTTTTTCCACATAAGCACGTACACCCAATTCTATTTGTCAAATTAACTAAACTAGGTTTTAACATACGCACTTTTTGAGATTTTATTACTTGAACAAAAGTACAATACTGAAAATAGTTTCACTTAAGTGCATAAGATCATATTTCTCAAGAAAAAACATTTAAAATGCTTTCTCAATTAACATGCGTTCACATTTAAAACTAAAATATCGATAGGTTTCATTTTAATCCTGTTGTCTACAACACTATCTTTGACAGCAATCTTGTTCCGTATATCACTTTAAATAATTCTGTGACTTCTTTAGCATTTGATCACATTGAACTAAACTACAATTCATAAAACTAAATTTTATTAATTTGAAATTAAGTTGAGAAAATTTTAAAAGGAAATGTAATTACATTATTAAATACGCTACTTAAAATCATTATTGATTTCTTCATTATAAAATAGTTTTAATGACTACACTATTAAATTTAAAATGTACAGCAAATTTTAAATATGTAGTATCATAATTCTACCAGCGGATCAGAATCGCGACCTCAGTGGGTTTAATAGCGATTATTGCTTTTTTTTCAGTAGATATAGATACTGTGTACCTATTTACATTTACATTTACAATAGCCTTTTTATGGGGATAACTAGAAATGCCCTTACCAGCCGTCTGAAATATTTTATTAATTAAATTCCTTCATTTCCATACTTTGTCCATATTTCATTATTATTATTTAATTTTAAGAGGATACCCAAGTTCAACAATTCAATGTGTTGAATAAACAGGAATTTATTGTGAAAACTCAAAGAATTAAGTAAGTAGGCATTTACTGCTGAGCAAAAAGTTAAGGCAATAGGTCACGCTCGCTCGCTTGCGAGCTGCGAGACGTTCCGTTTATCCCCTCTCGACCCTCTCCGTCTGTCATACGGTTGAAAGGTGCACGCCGAGAGGCTGTGTCTCGCTCAAGTCGAGTGTCGTCCCGGCCGTGTTGTATTTACAACGTCCTCGAAAACAAAGAAAAAGTTGTTCGCGCCGTAAATCAGGACATCACAAAAATGTGTTAGATTGTGTTCAAGTAGTGTTGTGTAATTATTAAAAAAATGGGTTCCAAAATCGAATACGTTGATTCATCACATTTGTACGCTACAAACTATGTACGTAATTCGAAAGCGATCGGCGTGCTTTGGGCCATTTTCACGATCTGCTACGCGATTATAAACGTTGTTGCTTTCGTCACACCAGAGTGGATCGGCGATTTGGATACAGAGTACCCTAGGAAGTTCGGCTTGTGGCAGATTTGCAGAACCGACGAACTAGAAGAGTGCAAAGGAAAGCTCGAAGATTTCTTATCTATAGACGGTCTTGTGTTCAAAATAGCTACTGTTTTGGTCGGGGTGGCGGTAGCAATGTCCTTGTTTACTATCTGCGCGTTATTATTGTTCTTCTTCTGCCAATCCACGACCGTCTTTCACATTTGCGGGTGGATCCAGCTGTTTTCGGGTAAGTGGAAAAACACATACAATGAATGAACATTTTCCCTATATAATTTCATTTTATTTTACATATTTTATTTTCTAACTGTTGTCTTAAATACTTATCGTGGTACTGACAATGTCAATAAATCGTATCATATTTATACCCTATAGACGCAATGTTTTCTTCAGACGGCTTTTTAAGAATATACTTAATTGGCTGTATCTTTAAGATCGTTGATTTTTTTTTAATACACGTTAACGAAGACAACCAAAAAGTGGTTCAGAAACTGGTTTCCCTCGAAAACATAAAACACGTTGGAAATTAAATACCTACTTTTGTAGTACGAAACAAGATTCCCTATATCAATAAAATTCACTTCACTAAGCCGATAGTCACCTCAAAGTGAAAGTTACACAACATACATACATTTTATTGTTGACCTTGCACCGTTGTAGAACAAGTCTTGAAGCGGTCAGATTTTTGACACCAGCGTGGCGAACCAGACGGAATTAACTGCGGCTTGTCTCAATTATAACGTTTATTTTTTAATTTTTATAAACGACTTAAGAGATTTGTAGCAAAAAAAAAATTACGAAAAATATCCAACTAAGATTTTCTCGTGTCACGGATACCAGAAACACGAACGTATAAAAAAAATTAAGCCACAACCAAACCCCGATTGTCAAATGTCTCCGACCGGAAATTAGGCCAGGCCTCGGGTGCGTCACGGCCATTAACGCCTAGATCTATCGTCGCAGCCATTTAATTTTAATCACCTGACGACGTCACTAATCAATTAGGTACCAAAATCAATACAATAGCGCAAGAAATTCTAATAGATCCATTAACAACTTTTTTTACAATAAAACAAAATTCTGGTCATCGTTCTCGTCGAACCCGTCGCTTGCGACAAAGGGCTCGGCGAGTAGATTAACCCATAGACACAGCCCACTGAGTTTCTCGCCGGATCTTCTCAGTGGGTCGCGTTTCCGACCCGGTGGTAGATTCTGCGAAGCACTTGCTAGGGTTAGTGTGCTAACACAACACCTCCGGTTTGAATCCCGAGAGCTCACCTACTTGTTAGGTTACACTGATATAACCACTCAAGGCTATCAGCTTAGGTAGAGAAAATAAATAAATAAATAAAACGGGTTGCAAATTGCATATTATCAACTCAACAGAGATATTTCAATATGGCCGCCGGTATACTCTTATATATCTTTGTTTCACTTGATAAAATATTTGACAACTTCGAGTTTAGTATAGAAATTGTTTTCTAAGCGCGGCATGGCGGCAGGTGGGAACATTGGGCCCGTTAATGTGCTGGCTTGATACGCATGTTTTATTACGATTTCGTTTATCTACAAAAAATTACTGATGAAATGACTAGGCCGAGAAATATGTACATGCAATTGTTATTTATTGTTCAAAACTCAATACGCTTTTTTTTAAACAATATAAATTCTACAAAATGACTATATATCAATATATGTCTATGTATTAATAGTATTCTTAAATATTCATTTAAATAGCCTAAGGTAGTAAATAAATAATATACCAGAATAGATAAATTAAAATACCACGAAATTACGTCACGTTCAAGGGCCAAGAATAAAACTTCTTCGCGTGTTATGGGCATCGGAAAAATGTATACCTATTTATTAAGTGGATCCAGAAAATTACAGACCTGTCATTTTGGCGAAGCTTCAGGGAGATTTACGTCCAGCAATGCACGTTTGTAGGCTGATGATGAGACAATTAAATGTCAAAACCTTCAACAACCCTATTACTGTCTCCAAACAGCAAACGTAGACGCATCCCCGTGGCCAAGGTCACCACCAGACCGACGAAGACACCGACGTTACGTGTGTGGGCACACAATAAAAACTAGAAAATACTTTCTAAAAACTAATTGCACGAAGTGAGAAAACAATGGCAGCGGGTATTTCAAATATTTCGGACTTTCTTTTTCAACTGTGCACGTGAAGTTAATTAAGGTAGTTACGTGTTTTAAGTAGAGTCAAGATTTAAGATTGTTACTTAAGGAGAATTATAAGCTTATCGTGATTGTAATTGTTATAAAAGTGTACATAACATCAAGAACTGAAACAGAGAGGCTGTCGGTAAGCATAAGAAATCTACAAATCAATCAAAAAAAAACAGTCTAAATTTAGCAACTTTTAAATTAAAATCTGTTAATGGACGATATCCAAATAAAATACTAATTGATATCTTTCTGATACCTAGTACGGATACTAATATGTATATTCAAAAGACACGGAACGTGTTACAGTGTTAATTAACAATGAATACGTGACGATAAACATTATCAACAAAGAATAAAGATTGTAATCATTTCTCACTATTAATAATCATGATCATAATGCACATCACGTACACAGAGTATCCAATAATGATACTGTATAATGGTTCTAATAGCACGGACAAAGGATTCTTTGGATTCGCATATGTATAATATAACATAATTATGATTTTAAAGTAACATGGTCACGAACATAACAATTATTACTTAAAAATATCGGGAACTCATTTCGTATACACTGGTAAATATCCCGTTTTAAGTAATAATTGTTATGGTTGTAGCATCTCTATATTATACAATGACATTACATTATTCATTTTGACATTTGACACTAAACAATAAAGTTCCTTATTAATGAATATGAAAATGTCACTCATTTAATACTATCATTCATTGACAGTTCGGGTGTCATCGTATTCCGATAAAGATCCGAGTTTTCCCGAAGGAAAATCATTTCTCACTACATATATTTAAAGACGTTCTTACTGTCAGTTAATAAACTGTAATTAGAGTTGGTGACGTCACAGCAGAAAGGGTGTTATCTATGGTGATAGATATGATTCGTCGCAGAGGGATAATGGTAAGATAGGATATTTCAATCAAGAAGGAGTAGTCACTACATAGTATAAAACAAAGTCACTTTCTCTGTCCCTATATCCCTATGTATGCTTAAATCTTTAAAACTACGCAACGGATTTTAATGCGGTTTTTTAAATAGATAGAGTGATTGAAGAGGAAAGTGTATGTGTATAATAACATCCATGAAATAGTGTAGAAATCAATAATAAATTACAGTTTCCGAAGCGAAGCGAGGGCGGGTCGCTAGTATATAGATAAAAGAAGTCACAAAAGAAGTACTGGGAACGAAGTGAGTACCTACTAAGAATGGTCAAGTCGTGTGAATCGTCACTGGCGCACCCAGCAGTGGAGTCATCGAAAAGTGAAAATGGCGGAAATAAAAATGATTACGATAACTTTCTCCGAATGGATTGATTGATGATACGGTCATCATTTTGATTTTGCGGAATGCAAATACATGCAATTATATTATCTATTAGACGTTTAGCAGCCCATTTGTTACGATTTGAAACGGAACTTGACATGTTTTTCAAAATCAATCTTCTGCAGACTAATATCCTCGATAAATCTGGTGGTAGGACCTCTTTACTGGTGGTAGGAGCTCTTGTGAGTCCGCGCGGGTAGGCACCACCACCTTGCCTATTTCTGCCGTGAAGTAGTAATGCGTTTCGGTTTGAAGGGCGGGGTAGCCGTTGTAACTATATTGAGACTTTAGAACTCATATCTCAAGGTGGGTGGCGGCATTTACGTTTTATGGGCTCCAGTAACCACTTAACATCAGGTGGGCTGTGAGCTCGTCCACCCATCTAAATCAATGGCGTTTGGGCGTGATAATAGTACGCGCTGGTCAATCTCTAAACCTCTTGACCTACGGCCACTACGAAGAATACATCAATAAAAATCCAAATAATCTCATATTGACGTTTCTCCGTGGATTATCATTAACTGGAAAAATACACTGCTATTATTTTTCTAAAGATTGACATATACGTCTGCATAATATTAAAAAAAAGCAACATTTTCCACAACATTTGAGCACAAATCAAAGTGAAACTATATGTAATATTCAATTTTATAGTATTCAATGTTAAATAGACATTTTATTCCGATAATCGTATTCGCATCGATTGTAATCGATCCGATACAAGACCTTGAAGTTCACATTGCAGCATTGCTGACTCCTATTACTCTTAATAGGAATTAAAATGAATGTCGGATCTTTAACTGTCAGCATTAAGCAACATGCGATATTAACTGATCTTGTTACTAACTTAGATTTTTTTATTGCTTAGATGGGTGGACGAGCCCACAGCCCACCTGGTGTTAAGTGGTTACTGGAGCCCATAAAACGTAAATGCCGCCACTTACCTTGAGATATAAGTTCTAAGATCTCAAGTATAGTTACAACGGCTGCCCTACCTTTCAAACCGAAACGCATTTCTGCTTCACGGCAGAAATAGGCAGGGTGGTGGTACCTACCCGTGCGGACTCACAAGAGGTCCTACTACTAGTAATTACGCAAATTATAATTTTGCGGGTTTGATTTTTATTACACGATGTTATTCCTTCACCGTGGAAGTCAATCGTGAACATTTGTTGAGTACGTATTTCATTAGACAAATTGGTACTCGCCTGAGATTCGAACACCGGTGCATCGCTCAACACGAATGCACCGGACGTCTTATCCTTTAGGCCACGACGACGTTGATTGAGTTTCTCGCCGGATCTTCTGAGTGGGTCGTGATTCTGATGCGGTGGTAGATTCAGCGAAGCACTGTTCTTGGTAAGGCTAGTGTCAGCATGTGTTCTGGGCCGGGGCTCCCAAATACCAGCTTCTTCCATTTGACTCCATACAGAGGCGGGCCGTTCGGATTGTTGATAATCCCATTCTCACGGATCGTTTGGAACCTCTGGTTCTGCGGTGGGACTTCGGTTCCCTTTGTATTTTGTACCGTATATCCCATGGTCTGATGAATGCTCTGATGAATTGTTTAAGATGATCCCCTCATCTCCTTTTTATCATCGCACCTCCCGCCATCGGAGCACATTTCATCCATATCACCTGGAACCACTGCGTTCATCGACAGTGCGTTTCCAGAGGTCTTTTTTACCACGTACCATC